TGTTACTGCCAAAGGAAAAAAATAGATACTTTCTAACCCCAGTGACTAAGACACTGATGTTTGAGTCTGTTTGTATGGGGAGCAGGATGGGTACCATGATGCCGCACTGAGGTGCAGCCCTGCCCCTCCTACTTGCCACTGATTTTGTGGTTAGGGCGAAAAGCTTCCGAGAATGCAGCCTGTAGCAATGACATGGCTTCCTTACACTGAAAATCTTGCTGAAAAGCCCCTTTTGTTTCTGGGATGTGCCAGATGGAGTGTTCTCTTTACAAACAAACATTCAAAATCCTTGAGAAGAGACACATAGGTTACAGTTTAACATTCGTTATCTCTAACAGGAGGACAAATTCCTGAGGCAAAGGAGTTGCAGTAGAAATTCTTGAAATTTAACGAGAACGGCGAATGTTCCATTCATTTACTGTTGGGTAATGAATTGGAGGTGCCCTTCCTGGTCCCACCCCACGGGTCCACCCCTTCTGCAAGGACTGGTTTCTGCCTACTCATCTGTCATCTTGCTCAGTTGTCACCTACACAAAGCGCTCCTTTCTTCTCCGCAGGCAGTGCTGACAGCTTCCTCCTCACTGTCCCCAGCTCTTTGTGTGTGCTATATTTAGAATGAACAAATTGTTCAGTAATGATTTGTTTACATATCTGTCTCTCCCAGTAGGTGATGAGCTCTTTGGAGTCGGGGTCCACGTCGTCATCATTTTCAGACACGAATCTCCTTTTGTTGAATAAATCTTCGAGATTGTTTTCAGGTCTTTCTGAACTCCTTTTAGAGATTCCCCTTGTCAGTAGTATAACCTCCAAACCTCACTTCTGTTGAGTGCCTTGACACCCCAGCTAGACTGAAAATTTTTTTTTTTTTGAGACGGATTTTCACTTTTGTTGCCCAGGCTGGAGTGCGGTGGCCACCATCTGGGCTCACCACAACCTCCGCTTCCTGGGTTCAAGTGATTCTCCTGCTTCAGCCTCCTGAGTAGCTGGGATTACAGACATGTGCCACCATGCCCAACTGATTTTGTGTTTTTAGTTAGAGACAGGGTTTCTCCATGTTGGTCAGGCTGGTCTTGAACTCCCAACCTCAGGTGATCCGCCTACCTTGGTCTCCCAAAGTGTTGGGATTACAGGTGTGAGCCACCGCGCCTGGCCAGACTGAATATTTACAGCTCTCCGGAGATGCTGGGCTCTCTCTCCCCTTTCTTCTTTTACCAGTAATGTTCCCTTTATTTGAAATGTATCTGCCCAAACAGCAAAAATCAACTACCCTTTCTTTGTTCTGGGTTAACCCTTCCTCATTCTCAGAGGGGTTAGAGCACACCTTGAGAGTCGCTACAGTGTTCTGTGATTTTCCCAAAATATCGTTTATTATGATCGCCTCCTTATGTGTCTGCCCTGCACTCGAGGTTGGATAGTGCTGGAGTAGCTGTATGCAGTTTCCCTGCCTCCTAGCAGAGGGCCCTAGCACTCAGTCAATGTTAGTGGGATTATGTTTCTTACAAAAGCCACATAAAACATCCCGAAAACTACATAGTAATAGAGAAAGAGTGTGTAATCTGAAATAGAAATGTTGAGTTCTTGTCCAGATTCTGCTATTTACCACTAGGGAGGAAAATAAAACACAAAAGTTTGTCTACGTTTAGAAAAGAGCATACATAAGCAAAGAAAAATAGGCTCCTGCCAGGAGGTAGGACTCCAAGTGCCAGGGCAGTGAGGAAACAGACAAGCTAGCTTAGCAGCCACGAGGGGTAACGGTACAGCAGGAGGGGCCGGGCACGGCGGCTCATGCCTGTAATCCCAGCACTTTGAGGAGCCGAGGCGGTGGGTGCATGGTTTGAGGTCAGGAGTTCCAGACCAGCCTGACGTACATGATGAAACCCCATCTCTACTAAAAATACAAAATTAGCCAGGTGTGCTGGCGTGTGCCTGGAATCCCAGATTCTTGGGAGGCTGAGACAGGAGAATCACTTGAGCCTGGGAGGTGGAGTTTGCAGTGAGCCGAGATTGTGCCACTGCCCTCCAGCCTGGGCGACAGAACGAGACTCTGTCTAAAAAGAAAAAAAAAAAAAAAGATACAACAGGAAAGGGGCATCGGCTCTTGCTCTTCATGTTACCAAATGGCCTGGCAATGCAGGAACCTCAAGTACGGTCCTCTGGCCCAGGCAGGCGGGTGACACCAAGAATGCCCAGGGAAGAAAGGAGAGAAAAGAATTGGTTTTTGATTTTGGATAAAGAGAGGATCTCAAGCCTGAGCTTTTTAAATTTGTGCCCATACCTGCTGTTTATTCCCCTGGTGAAGCTGTTGGAACAAATCCGCGTCCGCCTCGTGTGGCCTGCTGCACGGAAGGGAGACAGCAGAGCCCATGCTTTGGCAAGGCTTGCGACATGTTGGAAATGTGACAGCTGCCTGGACTGCTCGCCCTGGGCTTTGGCGACACTGACCACCTGTGCGTGAAGCAGCAGGTCACTGAATGTCTTTGAGCCTCAGGATTTCTCTGTAAAAATGAGGATATTTATTTACAATATGAATCTCAGACAATATTAGCTTTGAGCTTTTTAGAAATAAAATTGTTTATGCCTTCTGTCCATGGCCACTCATGAAATTAAGCAAAGATCTAGGAGGGCGGGAGTGTGTCTGGGGCCCTCTGTGTCCCCATGGAGCTGTCCAACTTGCTGTCACACACAGTGAGTGCTTTAAAATGTAATTTACTCTTTGACGAATGTGCAGCCATTTCTCTTTCAGTCTCTCTCTCATGGCTTAGATACCTCCAGCCTAGATGGCCAGGGTAGTGCATTACCTACAGTTCAGACAGATGAGCATTCAAAAGGTGGCACAGTTGGGGCTCCTGGATGCTGCATGGGCTCTGGAGTCAGAATGAATTCTATCTTTGCTCTGTGTGACCTTGAGCAAATCATGTATTACTTCTCCAAACCTCGGATCGCTATCTGCAGTATGAAAATAGCAAAGCACCCACCTCCTACGTGATGTGGGGAGCCTCTGGGCCGACGCACGTACAGCACTTCCCTGCAGGCAACGCCCCAGCATGATCAGCTTGCAGTGGATGCCAGTTATGGTGGCTCCTTAGTGAGTCCTGATGTGCACCTGTGACGTGGTTATTGTTATCCCTACTTTGCATGTGAGGAAAATGAGCCTTTTCATTAAGTGGCTGATCTGGGATTTTTTTTTTTTTTTCAAGACAGGGTCTCACTCTGTTGCCCAGGCTGGAATGCAGTGGTGCGATCATGGCTCACTGCAATTCTAACCACCCAAGGGGTTCACCTTACCCGCTGCCTAGACAGAGCCGATTCATCAAGACAGGGGAATTGCAATAGAGATAGAGTCATTCATCCAGACCCGGCTGTGCGGGAGACTGGAGTTTTATTATTGCTCAAATCAGTATCCCCAAGCATTCGGGTAGCAGAGTTTTTAAGGATAACTTGGTGGGCGGGGGAAAGCCTGTGAGCCAGGAGTGCTGATTGGTCAGAGATGAAAAAATAGGGAATCGGAGCTGTCTTCTTGTGCTGAGTCAGTTCCTGGGTGGGGGCCACAAGATCAGATGAGCCAGTTTATTGATCTAGGTGGTCCTAGCTGATCCATCATGTATTGGGTCTGCAAAATATCTCAAGCACTGGTCTTAGGAGCAGTTTGGAGAGGATCAGAATCTTGGAGTCTCCAACTGTATGACTTCTAAACCATCATTTCTAATCTTGTGGCTAATGTTAGTCTTACAAAAGTAAACTAGTCCTCAGGCAAGAAGGAGGTCTGCTTTGGGAAAGGGCTGTTACTGTCTTTGCATAAACTATTAACTCAGTTTCTCCCAAAGTTAGTTCTGCCTACACTCAGAAATGAACAAGGACAGCTTGGAGATTAGAAGCAAGATGGAGTCAGTTAAGTTAGATCTCTTTCACTGTCTCAGTCATAATTTTGCAAAGGTGATTTCAATACCTCAGCTTCCCAAGCTCAAGCGATCCTCCTGCCTCAGCCTCCCAAGTAGTTGGGACTAGAGCTGCAGACTACCACACCTGGCAATTTTTTATTTTTTTGTGGACATGGGGTCTCACTATATTGCCCAGGCTGGTCTCAAATTTCTGGGCTCAAAGGATTTCCTGCCTCAGCCTCCCAAAGCGGTGGGATTACAGGCATGAACCACTGTGCCCAGTCTGATTTGGCTTTTGAACACAATTCTACTGGACCCCTTGAGAGGAGCACTTTTCACAGTGCCATGCTGAATGAGAAGTAATCCTTAAGGGGCTTTCTTTCGACCATGGACAAGCCACTGCCCTTCTTTTCCTCTTCCTTGCCTTCAGTGAAGTTCTTCCTTTGTACTAGAACCCCAGTGTGATCAGGGCCTTTTTTCCTACCCACAGCCAGACTCTCAGGGAGAATGATCCTATTTCCCCCAAGCATAAGTCCTGGTGAGTTTAGGTCAGCTGTTACTATAATGATCACATTCTCTCTGGGGAACAGGCTCATAGTAGTTCTGGGGGAGTCGGGAGAGAGGAGGAGTCTTCAGGCCAAAAAATAAACACAGCTGGTAGTGACCCAACAAAATGATGGCGAGAATCTGAGTCCTTGAAGTGGCTGTGGATTTGTTTAATACAACCATCCTGCGACCCACTACCCCACCTATTTTTAAGTCACATAATAGGAAAAAAAAAATCTGTACATGTTCAGTACAGTCACAACCATGCATTTTCTTTCCCAAATAGTTTTGATCTTTGGTTGGTTGAATCTGTGGATGCAAAACCCATGAATATGGAGGGCTAACTGTATTTACAGCCAAAAGCATCTCAATGGATTTATCATCACATCAATCAATCAAGAGGACTGATTAATGTAGTCAAATCTTTGAGGGATTTGTGAACACTAGAACCACTGTTTCAGATCTGAGATAGGCAACCTGTGAGTGAATTATGGCATTTTGGGCTTGGAAGAATGAGAGGTCATCAAGCCTAGTGTTTACTAAATCTTTTTATTTAAAATTTTTTGTAGAAACAGAGTCTCATTGTGTTGACCAGGCTGGTATTGAACTCCTGGGCTCAAGTGATCCTCCTGCCTCTGCCTCCAACGGAAATCTACACTGACCATTCCAGTTACCTATTTCTGTGGAACAAATCACCTCCAAAGGTTAATGACGTAAAAGAACAAAAAATCATTTTATTATTGTGAAGGTCAACTTTATGTATGAACGTGGCTTAGTTATAGTAAAGAGTAATTCAAATACTAACTTAGCTTGTTGCTGTGGAGGAATTTTGTAGATGTAATTAGCATCTACAATCAGTTGACTTTAAGTCGCGTATCCTTGGCAATTTGGTTGGGTCTGACTCAGTCAGTTGAGAGGCCTGAAGAGCAGAACTGAGGCTTCCCTGAGGAAGAAGAATTTCTGCCTGTGGACACAGTGTCAACTCAAACTGCCCCTCCGGCCTGCCCTTCCTGACGTCCTGCCTTACAGACTTCAGATCTACCTAGTCATCTCCCAGAATCACAAAGCTAACTCTTGCAATCAATCTAGATCCTTCTACTCTGGATCGTTTCTACGAACTCCTGACTACTACTATTTTTATTTCTTACGATTCTGAAGGTTGACTGGGCTCAGCTAGGTTTTTGCTTGGGGTCCCTCAAGCAAGTACAGTTAGACAATGGCTGGGGATGGAGTCACCTTGAAGGTATCACTCACATGTCTGACCCTTGACTGGGACTTCAGCTGCGCATTGGCTGGAAAACCTAGACATGGCCTTTTCATGTGGTCTGAGCTTTCTCATAGCATGGCACCTGGGGTCCTTGAGGGAGTACCCCAAGAGAAGGAAGAGGAAGAGCATAGCTTTTTATTTTTAATGACCTAGACTCAGAAGTCATAGAGCCTCAATGTAGCCATCGTTTATTGGTAAAGGCAGTCATAAAGGTGTATTTAGGCGCAAAGCAAAGAACACAAACCCTGCCACTCCATGGGAGGAGAATTAACGTCACATTATAGAAGAGTGTCTCTGCCGCAGTGAACACATTTTTACCAATTCGTGGTTGGATGACAACAATCAAACCAAATTATTTCTATTTAGAAGACAATTTAGAGGACAGTCCAACATTCTGAACTGAAGTTTTGGTGGTAAAATGTCCTATATTTAGTGAAATGGTGATACTTGTATATCATTTTGTGATTCATTTTGTAAATGTATTTACCGTGTAAAAATAAAATGCTGGTGACTTCAGGTCAGCCTCTAAGCTTTTGTGAAATTCAGAATTTGGCAATTTGGTTGCGTCCACCTTTCTACTGAGTGTTGTGAGGACATTTGCAGCATTCCCTGTAGTGAACATTTATTCTCTGGACACTCCTGGTGACCTCAGTCTCCCCCCACTGAAGGATTTATCACTCTCATTGCCAACAGTCCTTACCACTGTGATGTTCTTACCTTCTGCCCTGCTGACCTGGAATCCTTCCTCTCTATTTAACAGCTTTTTTACTTTCAGCACCCCACCATTAAGTCTTCCTTTTTTAAGTTGAACAATCTTAATTCCTATAAATATTCTTTATGTGACCCAGTCAGTATATTGGGTAAGCTTGTGTGTAATGATGGTGATATGGCTTGAATGTTTGTCCCCTCGAAATCTCATGTTAAAATGTCATCTGCAGTGTTGGAGGTGGGGCCTCGTGGGAGGTGTTTGCTTAGAGGGGTGGGTCCCTTGCCACTGGCTCAGTGTCTTCCCCTTGGAAATAATCGAGTTCTCACTCTGTTAGTTCACAGGAGAGCTGGTGGTTTAAAAGAGTCTGGCGTCTCTCTTTGCCTCGTCTCTCTCCCCATATGACATACCTGCTCCCCCTTTGACATGATTGGAAGCTTCCTGAGGCCTCACCAGAAGCAGATTCCGGCACCAAATTTCTTGTAGTGTGAAGAACCAAAACCTCTTTTTTAAATAAATTACCCAGTCCCACGTATTCCTTTTTAGCAACAAACCCCAATAAATACGGGTGGTATTATTTCAGTCTTACAGGATCTCAATATTCTCAATTTGTTTATGCTGGAATTATGATCTTCAGGGTACTTATCGGCTGTAAATCTGTGTTTTGCAATGCTGCTGATGCACTTCTGAAAGCACTACAGTTTGGTAGTGTTCTTCCTTAACAGGTGATTGAACAGAAAACATGTTCTGAGCAATACAGAATATAATGAGTCTATACTACCTTTAATAAATATACTTCTATGAATATATCCTAAAACTCTTCAAAAAACACTATGTATGACATGAAGATGGTACATAGTAAATACGTAGTTAATTTTTTTTTCATAGCAAAATGAGTAGTACTTATTTTTATTTAACTAATATAAAAATTAGAGCTTCTCATTATTCTGCTGTTTTCTGAGAAGTCCTAACATCGGGCTAAAGGTAGTTTTTTTTCCCATAATTAATTGGGGTACAGGTGGTATTTGGCAACATGAATAATTTCTTTAGTGGTGAACTGTGAGATCCTGGTGCATGCATCATCTGAGCAGTATATCCTGCACTGTATTTGTTGTCTTTTATCCCTCAGCCCCTTCCACTCTTCCTCTCAAGCCCCCAAAGTTTATTGTATCATTTAAAAAAAAAAAATCTGTTGAGACGGAGTTTCGCTTTTGTTGCCCAGGCTGGAGTGCAATGGCGAGACCTTGGCTCACTGCAACCTGTGCCTCCTGGGTTCAAGTGATTCTCCTGCCTCAGCCTCCCAAGTAGCTGGGATTACAGGCATGCGCCACAACGCCCTGCTAATTTTGTATTTTTAGTAGAGACTGGGTTTCTCCCTACTGGTAAGGCTGATCTCAAACTCCCGACCTCAGGCGATCCTCCCGCCTCTGCCTCCCAAAGTGCTGGGATTACAGGCATGAGATGCCACACCCAGCTTTGTGTTCTCATAGCTTAGCTCTCACATATCAGTGAGAACATACAACGTTTAATTTTCTATTCCTGAGTAATATGTAGTTAATTTTAAACCTGCATTTAGAAAAATCTAAGTTTCTAGTTTTCTTCATTTTGTCTTTATGCATTTGAGTATTTTTACCTTAAATTTTTGACTTCACCTTTATTCCTATTTTCATTACTTTTACTATTGTTATCACTGCTGTTGCTGCTATAATAATGTGTTTCTCTTGCTGTTTTTGTCCCTCAGTTTCTTCTCTCCAGGTATAGTTAGTTCTGGTGCCTTCCTCTATACTTCCCTCTCTCTCTCTCTTTTTTTGTTTTTGAGATAGAGCCTTGCTCTGTTGTCCAGGCTGGAGTGCAATGGCACAATCTCAGCTCACTGCAGCCTCCACCTCCCAGGTCCAAGCGATTTGTCCCCTCAGTCTCCTGAGTAGCTGGAATTACAGGCACCTGCCATCGTGCTCGACTAATTTTTGTATTTTTAATAGAGACAGGGTTTCACCTTGTTGGCCAGGCTAGTCTTGAACTCCTGACCTTATGTGATCCGCCTGTCTTAGCCTCCCAGAGTGCTGAGATTACAGGCGTGAACCACTGCGCCGGGCCTTGATTTTTGCTTCCTTTGCAAATTTGACATAATCATCCTGTAAACTTTCATCTAAGTCATTAACTGAAACTCTGAGCAGGATGGGCTTGAGTACAGAACTCTGGATGGCTTCTCCAGCTGATTAACACTACCTCTTTGGGTGGATTTGTCCATGTGGCTTTAAGTGCACCTCAATGCATTACCATGTTAAATGCCTTTTTGAAATTACGGCATCCTAGGCTAGACATCCTCCAGATTCTACCTATCTTTTCGTTACCAAGAAGCCATACTATGTGAACTGGCTGACTTGTTTTTAGTGGTAATTTTAGGTGCCAACCAGAGGCTTCACAGCCAAGTGTTGTGCATCTAATTCTAGAGTTTGGACAGCTAAAAATTATCAGCAAATGTTTATCAACAGATTTAACCACCAAACATGAAATGAAGTGATAGATGTTTGGGTGTGCAAGTGAATCAACCCACTGAACAGCTTGGAAAATGGAAGAACCTAGTAATGTCAAGGGCAGTTGACAGAGGTGGGGCAGCTGAATTTTATTGTTCCTGTGCCTCCATGAATGTCCATGCTGATATGGTCTAGGGAGACATAAATAAAGACTTAAGTAGCCCTAGCGTAAACTATGAGATTCTGATATGACGTTTTCACATTCATCTTAGTATTCCATCATGCTCCCAGTCCCAACTAGTTCTGAGTCACTCAGAATTAATTCCAAATTGATGATGGCTTTACTATGTTTTCAAACATTTAATTGATGAATTATCTTCAAGGTATTTCTGAAGTCATGTCAAGAATTTATCAGAGGTTTTGCTTTTAGAAAAAAATGAATCTAATGGTTAAATTCTTTTTTCCGTGAATTGTATCTTAGCACTTTAGACCCTTTTTCATTGTTTTATTTTTTTAGAGACAGGATCTCATTATGTTGCCCAGGCTGGTCTCAAACTCCTGGCCTCAAGCAATCCTCCTGCCATGGCCTCCCAAAATGCTGGGATTATAGCCGTGAGTCACTGCACCTGGCCTAGCCGGAAAAACATTGTTATGTATTTAGAATAATAAGGTAAGAGGCCTGTCAGACACTGCCACAATGCCACTTCTCTGTCTCTCTTTAGCACTAGTCCAATATTCTGCAATGTTTTTGCCCGCACCTGCATGTTAGAATATGCCTCTTTCTGTACTTTAATGTACGGTATAACTTTACAATTCTTTCTTCCTTTTTTAAAAATTAAGGATTTACTGTTCCATTTTTGTATTCCAGAAATGTGTAGCACATACTCAGTAAATTCCTGTTGGCAAATCTCTATTGTTTAGTAAAACTTTAGTTTCGTTATGTAGTTTTATCATATAACTTTATATAATTTTAATAAGGCTGCGTAGTTTTCATGTAGTTTGCTCTAGTTGCTACTTGTTTTTTTCTGATGTCATGTGTACCTGTCCTGAGTTTAGGCGAGGAAGAGCCGTTTTGGTACCACCCTGTTACTTTTTTGCACAATTTGTTTTTCCTTCTTTGGATACATTCACATCTGCATGAATTTCTCATCTTTTTGTGATTTCTCAGCGTCATTTTCTGCTGTGTTTGAATAGTGCTAAGAGTTGAGTCATGTCCCTTAGCTTTTAAAAATTTATTTTTGAGGTTGTTTTCTT